AACACCACTTCATTATCACATTTCTTAAGAACTGCTGTTAAATCACTATGACTACATTTTTTAATTAGTATAGTCTGGTCGCTGAGCACGTAGAATTTTTATTTTATTTTATTTACAACGAGGAAGCTCTTGGCTTGTATTTTACCTGATTTTGTTCATTGACCCCAAGCTACCCATCCTTATCGCTCGCGCGTAATTATATTGCTGTCGCGACTGTGCGACGCGCGCCCGCAGTGAGTGTGCGAGCGCGACAGCAACATAATTACGCGCGAGCGATAAGGATGGGTAGCTTGGGGTCATTGGACAAAATTCTACGTGCTCACGGACCAGGCTTTACATATTATCAATTAGTAGCTCACCTACTTAACTTTATTCTCTGGTTTAGTGGGTCTTTACTGAGTTTTACGATCATTTTCACATAAATGTCTTAGCAAAGACGTACTTTATCACCTCGAAAAAAATCGTCCAATGGATCAATAAATGATTGCTCTTGCTGCACAGTAGGTAGTACGAGTATACTACGACAGCTACGAGTTCTACGATTATGATTGCTACGAGCTGTGCAACGGCTACGACCCCAACTAAACGAAAAACTCTGCTACGAGTAGGTACTACGAAACGACTACGACTGCTACGGGCTCTACTAGGTACACGTAAACCACTGCTACGAGTACTACAAAATAAATTCAACCGCTACCATTACCAAAATAATACGACTACGACTGCTACGAGTCCTTATGAACGAAAACCGCTGCTACGAGTTGGTACTACGAGACAACTACGACTATTACGAACCCAGTAATATTATTATTATTATGTATTATTATGTAATCCACTGCTACGAGTAGGTACTACAAAATAAAATTAAATACGATAGCAAAATAATACAGTCGTACTGTTACGAGCCCTGCTCGAAAATCGTTGCTACGAGTCGTCGTTTCAGCCAAATGATGTCCACTGCTAGACAAAGGCCTCCCCCAAGGTTTTCCATAATGAACGGTCCTGCGCTGCCCGCATCCAGGTTTTTCCCGCGACCTTTGTGACAGGAGGCAAACGAGCAAACGGATCACTTGATGATAAGTGCTACGAGTACTACAAAATAATACAACTGCTACGATTACCTGGTAGTAGGGCAAAAAAAGAATGAGACATGTGTAGGCTCCTTCAGAGCATTTGACGATTTGTAAGTGTACTAATTTAATATATCTAAACAAATAAAGATAATTTGGATTTTGATTTTACCAAAATAATGCGTGGCATATGAGCTGCTATGTAGATAGCGATTTTACTCTCTGGCAAGGATATTGAGTGCCTAGAGAAATAAAAGACAATGCATGCCGGAAATTGCTGTCTTTTTTATTGCGCTGATTCTGCTCCACACTGATGGCTGGAACCTATAATGGATGGTAGGTATTGTTTGTTTACACATACAATGTGACTATTTTGTTGCAATTTCTTACAAAACTTACACGCAAAGGGCAAACCTAATATGTTAAGTCACCAAACTTCTAATGCTCGTAACTCAGTTCAGACTGAGTGTTTGGTTTATTACACTATTATGTAATAAAAAAATAAGGTTTGGTCGATGGCCGCGTGAAAAAGAAGACGCCACCTTACATACAAAATCTGGCATGGCCATTTATAAAGCCTGGTCCGTGAGCACATAGAATCCCGTCCAATGACCCCAAGCTGCCCATCCTTGTCGCTCGCACGTAATTATGTTACTGTCGCGCTCGCACACTGACTGCGGGCGCGCGTCGCACAGTCGCGACAGCAATATAATTACGCGCGAGCGATAAGGATGGGTAGCTTGGGGTCATTGGACGGGATTCTACGTGCTCACGGACCAGGCTTTAGAATGTTTCGAGTCTGATTGCAATACCCACCAGCAGCGGCGTCTGCGGCGCGAGGATGGAGCCGAGCCGGCCCACCAGCGAGCAGGCGGCCAGCGCCGAGCTGCGAGCCTCGGTCGGGAACAGCTCCGCCGTGAACACGTACATGGAGTTGAAGGCCAGCGTGATGGCCAGCTTGCCGACGAAGAACAGCGCCACGATCGTGCCCGTGTGTGCTGGGAAATGTGTGAAACATTCCTCAGAGAACTTACAAGTTTGAGGGTGCACGCAAAAAAATTGACGAGTTGTCAAACAAATAAAAATATTTAATTCAAATAATATGACCAGTGGTAGGTACTTATGAACGTCAAATACAATAAAAGAAGGAAGCCCTTATGGGGCATTTAACATGTCTCCTTATCTTTTGGGCCCTACTGCCGCCTCTTTAATCTATTGTGTCTAGATTCGCGGGCCTTGAAGGATTAATTATTATTAGCTTAAATTAATTAAGTAGTCTAACGCCCGTATTCACAAACGATGCTTGCTTAAGAGAAGCAGCAAATCGAACGCACAGCGTTGAATAGAGCTCTGTGATTGGTTCGTTTGTCACCCTGTGCATCCACGCGCAGTATGAGACCTCATAGTGCATTGTAATGTTTGTGAATACGGGCGTAATAATCATAGAAAAGTTTTTCATTTTGACTATCGTTGTCCCATAGAAATTTAATCTGAAACTTACAAATAAAGAAAGGTANTTTGGTCATTATAGTAAAAAATAATGTCAGGTGTTATCGAAAGTCGAGCAAAATTAGGAATTAAAAATTACACTATCCTCATATCCTCACTTACCATGCTAATTACTCACGACTAGGTAATTAACAAAGTAAAAAAATGTGGAATCCTTAATGTCTGGAATGTTGTTTATCGTTTTTTATAAACGATAATCAGAAATTCAACAATGACTTTTGTCCAGCTAGCTTGTTCTACACGAATCACAGTGGGACGCCCGCAGTGAGTGTGCGAGCGCGACAGTAACATAATTACGCGCGAGCGATAAGGATGGGTAGCTTAGGGTCATTGGACAAAATTCTACGTGCTCAGAGACCGGGCTTTAGCTACCTACTTAACTTTATTCCCTAGTTTAGTGGGTTACACATAAATGTCTTTGCGAAGACGTAATTTATTTATCAACAGCCCTTTACAGTCCACTGCTGGACTATGAGCCTCCTCCACTATGGTGGAGGGATTTGCCATAATCTCCACGCTTGGCAGGCGGGTTGGAGATCGCAGTTTAAAAGATTGATGTTTTTCAGAGAGCGCTGCTGCCCATTCTCTGTTTGTTGTGTAGTCCCTAAGTCGCCTCTTACGACACCCGCGGGAAGAGTAGGGGTTGGTGACAAATGTATTCTACTCTGCCGTCACCACACGGTAATTTATTACAACGAAAAAAATCAATAATTGTGATTGCTCTTGCTGCGCAGTAGGTACTTCGAGTACACTATGACAGCTACGAGTTCTGCGAATATGATTGCTACGAGCTGTGCAACGACTACGACTGCTACGACCCCAACTAAACGACAAACGCTACTACGAGTAGCTACTACGAAACGACTACGACTGCTACGGGCACTACTACGCGTAAATCACTGCTACGAGTACTACAAAATAAATAAATTCACGGCTACGATTACCAAAATAATACGACTACGACCGCTACGAGTCCTTCTGAATGAAAACCGGTGCTACGAGGAGGTACTACGAAACAACTACGACTGCTACGAGTAGGTACTACAAAATAAAATTAAATACGATAGCAAAATAATGCAGTCGTACTGTTACGAGCCCTGCTAAACGAAAATCGTTGCTACGAGTCGTCGTTTCAGCCAAATGATGTCCACTGCTGGACAAAGGCCTTCCCCAAGGTTTTCCATAGTGAACGGCGCTGCCCGCATCCAGGTTTTTCCCGCGACCTTTGTGACAGGAGGCAAACGAGCAAACGGATCACTTGATGGTAAATTCTACGAGTACTACAAAATAATACAACTGCTACGATTACCTGGTGGTAGGGCAAAAAAAAGAATGAGACATGTGTGGGCTCCTTCAGAGCATTTGACGATTTGTAAGTGTACTAATTTAATTAATCTAAACAAATAAAGATAATTTGAGCACGTACGTGAGCACGTAGAATCCCGTCCAATGACCCCAAGCTGCCCATCCTTGTCGCTCGCACGTAATTATGTTACTGTCGCGCTCGCACACTGACTGCGGGCGCGCGTCGCACAGTCGCGACAGCAATATAATTACGCGCGAGAGATAAGGATGGGTAGCTTGGGGTCATTGGACGGGATTCTTTCTACGTGCTCACGGACCAGGCTTTAGAATGTTTCGAGTCTGATTGCAATACCCACCAGCAGCGGCGTCTGCGGCGCGAGGATGGAGCCGAGCCGGCCCACCAGCGAGCAGGCGGCCAGCGCCGAGCTGCGAGCCTCGGTGGGGAACAGCTCCGCCGTGAACACGTACATGGAGTTGAAGGCCAGCGTGATGGCCAGCTTGCCGACGAAGAACAGCGCCACGATCGTGCCCGTGTGTGCTGGGAAATGTATGAAACATTGCTCAGAGAACTTACAAGTTTGAGGGTGCACGCAAAAAAATTGACGAGTTGTCAAACAAATAAAAATATTTAATTCGAATAATATGACCGGTGGTAGGTACTTATGAACGTCAAATACAATAAAAAGCAGGTAGCCCTTATGGGGCACTTTACATTACATGTCTCCTTATCTTTTGGGCCCTACTGCCGCTTCTTTAATTATTAGCTTAAATTAATTAAGTAGTCTAACGCCCGTATTCACAAACGATGCTTGCTTAAGAGAAGCAGCAAATCGAACGCATAGCGTTGAATAGAGCTCTGTGATTGGTTCGTTTGTCACCCTGTGCATCTACGCGCACTATGAGACCTTATAGTAATGTTTGTGAATACGGGCGTAATAATCATAGAAAAGTTTTTCATTTTGACTGTCGCTGTCTCACAGCAATTTAATTTGAAACTTACAAATAAAGAAAGGTATGACGCACGCCAGCCCACACAGCAGGAACGCGAGGAAAATGGTCCACTTGCGGCCGAAGCGCTCCAGCGCCATCATGAGCAGCAGCGACGCCACGACCTCCATGCCCATGTTTAGCGCGAAGTTGACGTGCTTGTCGCCCGCCAGCGCCACCGAGTTGATGGTGAGCCCGTAGTACACGAAGGCCACCGCCACCCAGCACCACGCGCACGCCGCGAAGCGCAGCATCAGAACGCGCGAGCGTAAAAGCCGGAGCCAAGCGTTCGTCTTCACGGCCTCTTTTTGTTTTTCAGTCTCTGTCTCTAGTAGAGCTTTCATCACATCTTCGGATACTGTGACCTTTGGATGATATAATAAATGATTTTAATTTAATGTATGGCCACAGAATAAGTAATAGTACAGGTACAGAAGGATTACTCCGCAAGACGATTTAAATAAATGCGAGTTTTGCTACGACGCGTTACAGTGGAATTCAGCTCGCACAGCACTACGTACCTACAATTTTATTCACCTACAAGTTTTGTCTCTTTCTATCGCGTGCCTCTGAACTCTTCTTACGCTGTTAGGGTTGCTGTCTAGTAGTGTCTAGTAAAAAAATAATTAATCTACTTATTTGTAATGAGGTACGTATGTAGGTAAGTACGCATTCATTATGGAAAACCTTGGGGAGGCCTTTGTCCAGCAGTGGACGTCATTTATTTTGGCTGAAACGAACGAACGCATTCTGAGCAATAGTCATGGTAGGTTAGGTTCCTATACTATCCTAAGAATTATTGATTACCTACATGGTCAACATACTTTTCAGCATCTTTGGGAAGCGAAAAAAAAGATAAATCCGGTAGATTTCTTTTCGAATTTAAACACCCGAACGCCGCACAATAATATTTCTTTCTCTTTATGTCCATTTTTAAATAATACTTCGATCATAGAATTAGGTACTACAACGCACGCCAGCGTCCTGACGGGCGCGCGCGGGACACTCGACTGATATAATCCCCGCCGGCGGGGCGCTTCGCTGTAGGTAATTATCGGATGTACCGCGCGGAGTGAGCCAGGCCTGGTATGGCTGGTTTTAGTCACGCTGACGCACGATGACCGTCAGCGCTGTCAGCCAAATTGTATGAAACGTCGACGCCGAGCGATTAGCGTCACTCAGGAACGTTCCCTTCAATTACATACATCATATTGATCTGTGAGCGCCGACGATCAGCGAGTGGTCAGCGCGATTCTAAAACCCGCCTATGACTAACTCTAGCAAGCTCTAAATAAAAAAGAGGCACCTTCGTTACTTCAAATCATAGATTCTAATGTCTTATGGACTTCTAAGTCCCAGTTCTTCACAACTTCTAAGTTCTAAGCACTTTTGATTCTCTCAATGCACCGTTCACTTTAGCTGGCTAGGCACTCAGTTCAAACGAACATTAGACTACTGACTAAGTAAATCATACCTTATTGACTCTAGCAGCCTTTTTAATAATAGCGGCGGCTTCGGTCGTCCGCTGGCGCGCGTGCAGCCAGCGCGGGCTCTCGTGCACCAGCAGCCAGTACAGCGGCAGCAGCAGCGCCGGCGCGTGGATCGTGAGCAGCAGGCGGCGCCAGTTCGGCACGGCCCACGCCACCAGCGCGAACAGCGCGCCGCCCAGCCCGTAAGCCACGCCGGTCGCGCACGCGAACGCAGCCCGCAGCGAGGGGCGCGCTAGCTCCACAACTGCAATGTAAGATAAAAACGAACAGGTGATATCAGAAGACCCTTTGGGCAACCCTCTAGTTGGGTTCGCCACTGATCGGGCGCCTTATGCACTCGATACGGCCCGATCGCGAACGTCGGTCTGCGACCGTAACCGACGATCGCCAAACGGCTAGAGTACCTTCTGTACTCGCCACTCTGCCTGGTGAAGCCGGAGAAGCTCTTCAAGCTACCAGCGCGCGTCCTTTCAAAAAAAAAAACAGGAGACCCGGCAACACTGACACGGATGCATTACCGTCGTTATTTGACTGGAAATACTAATGGTGGTAGCGCATTCCAATTTTCTCGTAAATAAATCCTATGATAGTTTTATTAATCTAAAATCATGATGATGAAGGTGAAATTTAGTTTTGTGTGTACGATAGCGGAACCTAATAGCTGAGACTACACCAACATGAAAATAATAATTAATTATAAATTAAGCAAGAGATTAAATTAATGTTGACGACCATTACTGGCAGATGGCATTAAGATAAAAATTGTGATAGTCACAGGTCTTTGTCTGACGCATCGATAAGTGTCTAAATATAGATAATACAAGTAGGTCCTTTTCAGAATAGCCTAAGGTTAAGTTGGCGAAGTATTCCATCAGTGGCGGTCGGAGCGGGTGCGGAGGGCCGACCTCGCGATAAGATTACTGGTTAAGTACAGTTATTGATGCAAGTCAAAGACATTTGATCTGTGCATTATCAGGCCACGTGTTTGAAATATCTCGAATTTTCTTGTAAGCCCTCAATATGTTTGTAGTTTTTATGATTATANTGATTATGCAATGCTTATCTAGTTCCGCTCTACATTGTGCTTAGCGGATGAAACGTCTTTAAAATAATTTAAAAAATAATGTTTGTTCTTGGCTCAGACGTCGCAAGATTCGTATGTTGATACTGGAATATACGTGGATAACATGACAATATAATTAATGCTAATAAAAATCTAATGGATAATAGGTAACTATTACCTTTTATTATTCTGTGCTATTACCTATATTATCTAACTAGGTGGCGTAGCAACTAACACTGTCTAACGCTGTCTTCACGCAATGCATGTATGTTTCTGTTTATAATATGTATGCTCTACTATAGTTCAAGTGTCTAGCTGTAGCCGCAACTCACTCATGACGTAGGCGGCGCTGTTGAAGCCGTAGCCGAGCGCCGCCTCGAAGAACTCCAGCGCCACGTACATCTGGTAGTTGACGGACAGCGCCTTCACGATGCCCAGCACGCCCGCGCACGCCGAGAATATGCAGAACGCGGTGCGCCGCCCGTACCTGGGGACATACAAACAAATGTTCAGTGTCATTTGGGTTTAGGCTCTCGCTTACCTCCGTGTAAGGTCGTTGGTTGGTGGTCAAAGTTCGTTTCAGCCAAATGACGTCCACTGCTGGACAAAGGCCTCCCCCAATGTTTTCCACAATGAACGGTCCTCGAATCCAGGCACTTCCCGCGACCTTACCAGATCGTCGGTCCAACTAGTAGGAGGCCTGCCCACGCTACGTCTTCCAGCCCGTGGTCGCCACTCGAGAACTTTCCTGCCCCAACGGCCATCGTTCATTCTGCGAGCTATGTCGGTCACTTTGGTTCTCCTGCGGATCTCCTCATTGTTTACCTTTTAGTTTTTATTTTTTTTTGTTTATCTAACAATAAATAAATAAACGAATGGTTGGCTGCTGGATTTTTAAGGGAATAAGAAGTAATTCAGTTTTTCCACTTACCAGTCCCTTTAATAATATTGTAGCGTGATGTACTTACTCACAATTGCTCACACTTTACTTGCAGGAGTTCAGTGCACTCGATGCGCTGGAGTTTTAGATGCGTTGATGAGGTGAAGCAGACAGTGAAGCAACACATACTTGTCAGAGACGAAGCCGGTGAGTATGAGCGCGAAGGGCAGCGCGGAGTTGCGCACCGTGCCCATCAGCGTGCGCATCCACTCGCGGCACGCCAGCCCGAACTGCGCGCAAACATTAATACTGGATCTTTAATATATTCCATGCCATTTGAAATTGCTCGAATTCCATGCCATTGGATAAACCCTCGCTTATATGTATGGCATGTGTTTGCTTTTATTATTATGAATGTAGATACGTAGATAGGTACATTCATTATTTCAATTATAATGGAACGCGAAAGCTTCAAATCATAAGATTTTAAGTAATATAAATTACTGCACTACTCGTATAGTTAGTTCAGTTACGAACATTTTTTAAGGTGGTAATGAAACATTTCAGCCACAGTTGGATAGTAACGTGATACATTTGGCATTGGACATCTAGGTGGACCGACGATCTGGTGAAGGTCGCGGGAAGTACCTGGATGCAAGCGGCGCAGGACCGGTCTTTGTGGAAATCCTTGGGGGAGGCCTTTGTCCAGCAGTGGACGTCTTTCGGCTGAAACGAACGAACGAACGAACATTTGGCATTTGTTTACATTACATATTTAAACTCTCTATCGTTTTCGATAAGAATCGGCAGACAATTTCTGATTCTATTATCAGCAACGGATAAATAAAGTCGCTTCTACAAAAATATTTGCGATGCAATCTAGTTATCGTCTTTAAGACGTGACTAAAAACTAAGGATTGGTGTATTTGAAGTGAACTCACCTCAGCAAAGATGGTGTCGTAGTTCTCGTAGATGAAGTGTTCGCAGCGCACCGTGTCGACGGGGTGGAACAGGTCGCGGTCGCAGGAGGCCAGGCCGGGCCGCAGCGGCGCGAACCGCTCGCAGCGCGCCGCGGCCAGCAGCGGCAGCGCCGACTCGTTGGCGAACCCCGCACCGCCAGCACCTTCGCACTCCGGCACCACGCATCTGCACACACAACCAGGCTAGTCCTAGGCCCTCTCCCTGATGTTTTGCTGTGCCCTTGCAGGGCGTCACACAGTATTGAAAGAAAGAAAGAAAGAAAGAAAGAAAAGTATTTATTCGATTTATTGTGTTGGTACTACTCAATTATTTTTTTAATAAATTAATTAATTTGAATCATGATTAAATTAATCCCAAGATATAGATTTATTGATGGCGATTACCATGCAATAAATACTAATATCATGGCTATTGATTGGCATAATTTATTTATTTAAAACTTATATGCACATAGAACGGTGTACATAAGGCGGACTTAATGCCTTTTGGCATTTTCCTCCAGTCAACCTTAGGGCCAAACTGAGAGTAAAGTAGGCGGTATAAAATTACTATGAATATAGAAAAAAAACAAATAAAATATGAATACATACATAGATACATACATATATATATAAATAAATATATAATATAATAATAAGATGGATGAAAAAGGGAGAAAAAAAAGAGAAGGAAAAAAAAGGGGAAAAAACGGAGGTTGAACAGAAATCATGAAGATGAAACACCAGCGAGAAAATGTTTGCGCACATGAAATTTAAAGATGGACTTGCTGGGAGCCTGCCTGACGTTTTCAGGGAGACCGTTCCAAAGACGAATGGAATGTAGAAGAAAAGAGTTGGAAAGAAAACCAGTACGATGAGAAGGAGTGGAAAGAAGAAGCGTATTAGAGGAACGGAGTTGACGAGAGTGAGTTGAACTGAGGAGCGTATATTGGGATTTTAGGTAAGAAGGAGATTTTGGATTGTTTAAGATTGAAAAAAGTGTTAAAATGATTCTGACTTTTCGTCGAAAAGGTATAGGTAACCATTGAAGCTTAGACCGATTATAGATTTACTTGATTCTCTGCCGGCTGAGGAAGCTGTTAACTTATTCTACGAGCATATATATCAAATTATTACTAAAAACATTCCTTCAAGACCAGTGAAGTAGAAGAAGAAGGAACCATTAGCATACCTGTATTCGTAACAACGATTCAATCTATTTCAACTCAAAATAAAAGCGGGTTGAAAACACGAACATATCAGCATTATGTTACACACATTATAAATTGCGGACAAATCACATAGGTAGCAGGTTATGTTATTTATCGCATGTTTTAAAAGATAAAAAATATGTTGCCAAGTTGTCTTGTAACTGAAGTACAGATTCGTTATTTCGGATTAGTAATCTAAAGAAAGAATATTTATGCCTTCTGCTCCCCTTCCTTCACGCCCCACCCTCTCCAACTTCTCCCCCTGTCCGCACTCTACATTACTTCCCACTACAAACACAATGTTAACCGAAGTTATATGTGCCGGTATGCACAATAATGGTATGTGCATGGGTTAATACAACATATTAGTGAAAACCGCACCTAAATCAGTTAAGCAATTTCTAAGGTTAGAGTGCACTTGCACTAAGATGATGTTCGATGATTTCATATAAATACGCCATTCACAGATACTTAAATACTCGTATTTTAAATCTTCTCACCAAACTTTAAGCTATACTTAAAACTTTATCTCAAAGCTAAATGTGTTTTGAGCATGACTCTTCATTTAAGAGTGAATTACCTACAAACAGCTAAACTGTAATAATTCCGATGCGAATTATATTATTAGTATCTGGCGGTGCCTATTTATGGTAAAAGATAAATGTAACGATTGGCCGATAGGATAATGTATCACTTAGCTAATGAGTGAGAGTGACGTTAAGTAGATACTGATTAGATAGTCTCAACAACCTTCTTAGCATCTTATTTCGGATACATATTATATGGTCATATACCTACTCATAATATACAATAGGTGATGTCAATGGCCAAGTGGGTACTGTCTTATACATAGTTGCATTATTTTTTAAACCCATCTGAATACTACTCGTACATACAGATACCGCAGCGCTTGTTATGGCGAAGTGTTTTGAGACGCCACTACAATGGGCTATTACACTTGTCCAAACAGCGTGACTGTGGCTTTGTTTTTCCTAGTTAGCTTTATTCATTCATTAAGTATTCATTGTTTGTTTATAAAAAGAAAACTACTAAACCAGCGACTATACATAGAAATTGCAAATCTATTATTTACAGTCTAGTAGGTACCTATATTAAGTTTCTAAATTGATTTTGTTTTGCATATTGATAAAGTCCATAAAGACCTTTGTGGGTTGATGGCCCTAATCAGGGTTTCACAACAGGTGATTGCGCATGCATCGGGGACAGCCGTAAATAGAAAATGCAAATTATCGTAATATTCATATTGCAATGCAAAACCATATTCACATGGTATGTTTAAACCTAAACACATCATTCCTAATTTGTTGCTATAAGTTAGGTACTAATAAGTTACACTATAAATAACAAAGAGATTCAAACTAGTACTCGCACCTAACTTTAAAATATTATTCCACCTAGTGATTATGTATTCCATTCAGTTGAAATGCCCCTTTATTTCTGGCAAGAAAAGTCCCATAAATCATATTTCTTGGGGCTTCCTATAGCGAGATGTATCCTTGGGAACACATGTCTTTATGTATTTATACACTGTATTTTCTCTGATTCATTATGCATAACGTACTATACTGCAAAAATATTAAAAAATTCAGTTCTACAAATCTCACCGAAACGGCACCTGGTCAGCGACAAACACATAGTTGAGGGAGTACATGGCAGATAAGAGACCTGGGAGGCACAGCATGAACAGCGAGTAGCGTTGGTAGAGCCCGAACGCGCCCAGCTGCTCCAGCGCTTGTTCCAGGGCGTCGGGCTCGTCGGCGCCGGGCCCCGGCGGCGGGCCGGGGCTCGCGCTNGGGGGCCCCGGGGGCCCCGGGGGCCCGGTGGCAGAGGTGCGCGCCCCGTGCTCTGCTTTCCCCGCCATCGCGCGCTCGACTGCGCGAGGGGCACTTGTGACGGCCGTCGCGTCACGCTGATAAGATTACCTTTGTTTCGGAGATTTAGATTACGTGAGAGACATTGCAATCACTTCAGTCAACTTCAAAAAGATTACAGGTGATATAGCTCATGTAATATCAAGTCCAACATTTTGGCATCTTTACATAAACATAGTTTTTATTTGCAAAAAATATATTAGTGCGAATTTGATATCAATTGCATTTAATATGCATTTTAAAAAAAATATCATGTCTATTATGCAGTTTTAAGGAAGGTAAGGTTTATTGAAAAATAATCAACTACCTATATTAGGTACATAAAATTTATCTGTCGCTGCCCCGAATGAATGCACTTGTCAATAACAGATTAATAACCTACGGAGTAATTGTATTCAAAATAAAATTGTCAATAATTAATTTTGTACTATAATAAGACCTACGAAGTAACTATGTATTAGGTAATGTGGTACTATAGTAGTGTCTGGAGAATAAGGATGTTATAAAACGAAGTTATGGCGACAGTAGCCGAACGGTGAAGGTGTCGGACTAGCCGACTAATGATCTGCGTAAACACACAGTACTCATAGTCGCAGTACATACCTATGTATACCTTGTACCTTTTGTGGAAAACATTTTAGCACAGTCTAGCAACACAGCTCATTAGTGCCTGAGAGTTAGATGACCCTCACTTATTCCGGACTTATTCCTGCCGCTACTTTTCGCCACCGATCTACCCGACAGCACGTCCACCCCCATCACTTAGATGGTTGGCAGTCCACAACAGTACGTTTCTTCCTGCCCCGTACAACCAAACTGTGGAATGGACTGTCGTTTGCGGTGTTTCCGGATACGACCTGCAAGCTTTCAAGAGGAGAGCGTATCTTTACCTTAAAGGCCGGCAACGCACCTGTAACGCCCCTGGGTCTGCGGGTGTCTATGGGCGACGGTAATCACTTACCATCAGGTGATCCGTCTGCTCGTTTGCCTCCTGTCACATAAAAAAAAAACTTCCTTACAAGACTCCGGGATAGCAACAGTGGCTCTGTTGGAACAGTTTGGTCTAATGCTGATAAGATTAGCAAGTGAGCGACCATGAAAGTGAACGATTCACGAAACCGCCGAGATGACCCAGTTCCTCAACCAAGCGATAACCTTCCACTATGATCCGTCACCGTAGGCATGTTGACACGTGTCCTATGATTTTAACGAATTAAATTCTGGCTGCAACATTTGATAACACGAGTATAAATCTTTATTATTCAAAATTTTATAAAGGTTTAATAATTTATTGTTTTGCATTCTGTCACTCTGGCAACGTTATTGTTATCCAACATTCGGTGCATGTCGTGGCAACCTTTAATTACGGCAACACCTTAGCTTAATTTATTTATAAGGAAACTGTGAATGTATGGTGTATGTTTTGTTGGTTGTCCTTAAATAAATAAATGAAAATAAATAAATAAATAAAGGTTCAATTTTCGTGTATGGTAAATAATGGCAGCTGCTCATTTATAAGTAAAAACTAAGATAGATCTGATACGTACTACACATATAACATTAATAAATGGCATTATGTTAGATTAACCCATTTTAGGCAGTCAGAAACGACCCTTTCCAAGCCACTTGGGAAGAGATGCTTTTTAAAATAGTTTGAATAATATTTCTCGTTTTTGCAACATTTTTCTTTACTGCTCCGCCCCTATTGGCTGCAGTGTGATGTTATATTAAAGCCTTTCTCGATAAATGGACTTTCCAGCAAAAAAACATAAATCGGGCCAGTAGTTCCTGAGATTAGCGCGATCAAGCAAATAAACTCTTCAGCTTCATATTATTAGTATAGATCAGCGTTTCTTAACCTTTTTTGTCCACGGACCCTTTAGGAAAGCAAGCACAATTTTTAAGCAGTAATAAATTTCGATTATTACTTTCGGTGGCTTTTTTTAGATTGTTAAGTAATCCATAGATAAGGCTGCGGACCCCCATACATAAGCTCGCGGACCCCCACGCGTCCATGGACCACATGTGTTTAGAAAACACGTGTATGATATGTTACAACTAAAAACAATATGACGACATTTTAATCTGTTTTTATTTTTATTTTGATGAAATGCTGCCATTCCCACGCCTCGGTCACTGAATAACATGATATTCCTTTTATAAAGAACGATATTAATGTAAGATAAGTGACTAATATGTAGATAATACAAGCCTAATGTTGGTAACGATAGTGGACCGACGATAGCGGACAGCCGGCCGGAGCGTGGCATCGCACTCAGCGGGCGTGTGAATGATAAACAAAACGCACGACTTTTTACGCACACGAAACCTAATAAACGAATTATACATTACTAGCGACCCGCCCCTGCTTCGCACAGGTACAATGTATTATACTTAAAAACCTTCCTCTTGAATCACTCTGTCTATTAAAAAAAACAGTATCAAATTCCGTTGCGTAGTTTTGAAGACCTAAGCATACATAGGGACAGACAAACAGGAAGCGATTTTGTTTTATAATGTAGTGATGATAATGATTTTTTTTTGTTGGATAGACTTAAACAATTCCTATGTACTTATTTACAAATTTAAACAAACACGAAAATAATTATCTGGAGCTATATTTATTAGGACAAAATGGTTCAACGAGATTATGACATTTATTTCTGTATTAAGTAAAAAAAAAGATTAGGTAAGTAAGTTAGGGTAAAAGACTTCAACGCGTTAGAAAATTTTGTTCTCAGAATTTTATAATGATTGATGATCATTATTATTTCTGTTTCGAGCGATGAAGCTATTTCGTTCGATGCCGTGATCGCGCGCCGCGTGCGGGCGCCTAGATGTGCGCCCAGCGTGCGCGGGCGCGCGCGCCTTTGTTTCCGCTCCGCCGCGATACTAATGCACCAAGCTGATTTTACTCGTCTATTCACTAATGACCAAAAACTAATAAATAATAAGGTTCAATCATAATTTACTCATAATATTATGGTAACGGTATTTTTTTCAAAAATGTACTTATATAGTTGAACATACGTGTATTTGAAGTCATTGGAATTACAAAAAAGCCTTGTTTTACAAAAAAGATGATTTTACAAAAAGGACATGTTTCATTTTGTGAATGATAAGATTGAGTGCTTTTAGTGAGTCTCAGGACCTGTTTTTCCTAACATCTGTGCAATTTTCAGCTGTCAGAAATACTTTTGAGTTAAGCAATATCACCACAGTATCGGTATCGCGGAGAAATTATGATTGAGACAGTTTGAAATACATGAATGTTCTAATAAATGCAGCCTGTGGCTTCCTGAAACTTCACTTACAAACTAATGCCAAAAATGTACAAAGTAACAATTAAATAGTGTACGACAGTTTTGTATAAATACGATACTTTTTTGAATAACAATTCCAGGCACATATATTGTAAAACTCAAAATTATCACCAAGAAGTAACACCTTCTAACATGTGTACGACAGTTGTATACATACTTGTAAATACGATACTTTTTTGAATTCGGAGTCCAGGCACATAATATTGCAAAACTCAAAACTATCACCTTCTTTCATTCTTGATGGGCTGTTTCGAAGCGCGTAGGGCAAAAATATTATGAGACATGTAGGTACGTAAGCTCCTTACGGGCAAAACAGTTACGTTTCTTAGTTAATTTTTATTTAAATATTTAACGATTTCAAACCACTATTTAAATAGGTGGTCAGGTAGTCTGGAAACTAGTAAAGAAATTTTTGACTTAGACTTTGATTCTTGATGATATTATTATACTAGAATAAACGGATTTGTTGATCGAACGATAAAGTCACGCGGGTGTCATCGCGGGAAAAACCTTTATACGAATATTTTTGCACATGGTTGGATTGGTATCGTGTTAGAAAGGCATGTAGTGCACGCCAAATGGATTATGAAGTTAGCGATAAAATAATTGGACAAATTGTTGGTAGCTATGTGTCACAAACAATTTTCATTATCATTTGTGCGGTAAATTATTAACAAAACGTTTATTATACTACTAAAACGCAAACAGGCTAACCCCGAGATTTAAAAAAAAAGTAGACGAGTCCTGCGGTAAAATCTTAAAGTAGGTACATACCTATTTCAAACATAAGCTCAGCGACAATACGTCATCATTAAGGGCAATACGAGTATAGTCTCCCTTGCCATCCCATTTTTCATTCTGCCAAAANTGTTTTGGTTGACTTTGTTCTGAGTGGTCCTACAACTTTTGTGCCATATTAACTATTGCTCCAAATAGCTAGTTCTAACAATACGTACCATAATTTTTTGTTGGCCGGCACTTTTAGAAAAGGCCCAAAAAGAATGATGTCCTTTGGAAAGTATTATCGCGGTCATTAGCCGCGTAACGAGATTAGTAGGGCCGCTCCGTGCGGCGCGCGTGCGTGTAACTTGGTGTTTATTTCCATCGCGCACGTGGCGCGGGCCTTCCGCGGCGGGACGCAGTCTCCGCGCTCGCGGCGGCGTGAACCACCGTTAGCGTAACGGCGCAGAGCTCAGATTCGCGTGACCCGCTCCGAGTAATCAAACGCCTATCTCCTTTTAACCGGCGACTGAAGTAGTTTAGTAGTCCTGAAGTTGCGGCGCAGACGCACAACCACGCCGGCCTTCCAGGCGGTAGGACGCGTCCACTCCCATCGATGTAGATAAACTTGTTTACATTCTTAACTTGCGGTTAACTCGGTGTCAACGAGCTTTGTGTTCGAGGATATGGGTGTAGTTAGTGTGAGAGCACAAGGGAACATTCGTTTTTAGTTGTCGTAGTTTATATTAACTATATATTATTTACAAACTAGTCAGTATACGGTTGTAGGCGTGGTGTTAAGTTGTGATAATAGGAATACGGAGCGCATAGTATTAGGTGCTTTTTGTGATCGTTAATATTATATGGTAAGGAACCTGGATAAAATAATCAAATCCTGTAGTTTCAGCCATTTTAGTTAAAATTATTTATGTATCCGTTAGTCGCGTGCCAGTAATAAAAGTCTGTATAAATATATTCCATTCGATTCAAAGGGGATACATAGGGTTCAGATATAATTAAAACGTGGTCGATATCAAAATTACGTGACGGGCTCTCTTGGTGGTGGTGCGCGAGTGAAGCGGCGGGAAGATGTCGGGCGACTGGTGGTGCGCGGGCTGGGGCCGCTGGCAGGCGCGGCTGGCGCTGCTGCTGGCGCTGCCGGTGCTGCTCACCGGGCTCTACGGCACCAACTACGTGTTCCTGGCGGCTCACACGCCTTACAGGTCAGTTAGAACAAACCCTTTTAAGTCTGATCTCAGAACTCTGCACCGAGACACAAGTACACCCAATGGGTACACCTGTACTAACTTTCCCAGTCTTACTCCCAGGGAGTAAACAAATAAATAAGGTAGGTAGATGAGAAGTAATCTGAGATATAACAATTTTCAATTTATGATTTGTAGCAAAATTAACAACAGCTCAGAAAGGGACTTACATCATACATATGCAGTGATAATAGTGAATCCTTATTTTTAATAATTAATTTTAAACTTTCGCGTTGCATGACTGAATTAATTTTAATTCCTTATTTTTAAACCCGCGAGAAGAATACTCGCAAAATTGTGTACAAATACTTCTTGCTGCATATTTACCCATTTCATTAAGCTTTTACAAGGTGAAAAATTATAGGTCTGTGTTTCATCGCTTTCAGTTTAGATAAAAGAGTAGCGTCAGAATTTTTACCGATTTTGTATTTTAGATCAAAACAACAAATAGAACTCGTTTTGAGGCCCCTTAATTTCCGAGGTGTGCAAGACATCGCGGAAATCGATACGCTTAAGTCAATTTGAGTTCCGCACAAAGTAACGGTTACTGCTTAAGTTGCTTAGGTAAGTGAAAAAGTAACATTAAAATAGCTTTCTAACTGGTTTGATAATATTAATTTCAAGAAAGTGATCGTAAAATCATTATATTACTTGCTTTATATCTTTGTTTATTTGTTACTACATAAATTAGTAACTTGTACAGTCAGGTTTTGTTTGATTTTATTTGAAGTTAGGGCAAAAAACTTAGGCTGGGTTGCACCATCTTACTTTGACTGTAACAAACGCCAGAAATCTATCAAACTCCATATAAAAATCACTGTATATCGTTAAATTTACGGTCAAAGTTTGGTAGTGCAATTCAGCCTTAATGTCATAGGTAGACAGGTAACTAATTTGACGACTTGCATGTGAAAAAATGTCGGGGAATAGGAATCTTCGTAAATGTCACCATCATCGCGTCAATGAAGCCCGCATGATTACTGAAGCCATTTGTTTTGGCTAGCGCGGGCGCATACAGGTCAGAGGCGGCGGGCGGGGCGACCTAAAGCGTCGATAAGCACCGGTAATAACCGATCATTTCAGACACTGTTTACAAACTGACATTTTAGATTAAAGAAACCAAAATAAAAAAAATACTTTTTTAACTAGATTATAATATGCTATTGGAAAAATGAACTTCATCCGTGTATTTCGTACGTAGGAATTACTAAAGGTACTAAATATAGGTAACTTACTAATGTGGTAAAATCTAAATTTTTAATCCATCCATCATGCACTAGCTGCGCTGGTGAGTTTCATATACCTACCACTACTGCACAATAACTAAATGCCGGAGAACTTAATCAAGTCAATTCAGTCAATTAAATGACGGCGTGTTTGCAAGGGTAGTTTTTCGTTCTTACTCGTATTAAGGCGGCTCTATCAGGTCAGGATAGAGTCACACTTTAAAACGAGGCCGTCATTTTACACCTGAATCACCTATTATAATTATTTTGACAATTGTTTTAATTTTTTTTCTACATGGCCTTAAAATAAAATGTGTTATACTACATTTAGCATTAAACTTATATTTTGGTCACATTATGTTTATAAATGAATCTATTATCGTGCCATCTTTAAAATTTTCCGATCATTAACCATTCTTTGTGTGTTATTGAGCAAGAATTTATTTTAAATGTTTCTAAATCGAATCCAATTAATCGAAGCAGTAGGATTAAGTTGGAATATTACTATTGTGGTTTTATGAACTTTTCTCTTTAATGTTGGACATTAGTTACGATTGCAATGATGCACACAGTCAATGCATGAGGGGGCTGCGGCTTATTGAGACCGCGCGTAGCAAGCGAGTGAAGATGGAAAACTATGGAAAAAACTATGCGGTGTCTTCAGATATTTTTTCATAATTAAGACCACGGAAAATTGAACTAATGTTATTTTAAAGAACGATATAAGCCAGTTCGCAATGTCTACATGCGGCGGCTCCAGAGTCAAGGACGAACTAAAAAAAACATTGAATGGCGCCCATAGGCGCCTCGGCCGCGCATGTGGCCCACACCGATAAATACTGACGGGTGGCGTTTGTATACGAATATTATGTATAATCAAAAGTTAGGTAAATTAACGAAAGTACGAGTTTACCTTTTAAAAGCCATTAATAAATTCTGGCTTACGGAACCTACCTACCTACATCGAAAGATTCATAACGAGCTTTTCATTTTTATTTATTTTTTCAAATATTGCATTACACGCCTATTTAAAAAAGTGTATTTAAAATAATATTTTACCAAGGAGGCGTGTTTGTGGTTAAATAGAAAAAAAAATACAAAATACTTATAACGTTTAGGTAAAGCTTGTATGATAATAATTGTACACGCGCCAGTTAATTGCAGACGAGCACTTGCTAAGTTCGATTACGTAATATTTGTTGATCACGAACATTGTGTATGGAGCGATCATTGAATAATTTATGATGTAAACAATGCGTTATGCATGAATTGAATAATTTGTAAGATTGTAAAGTTTTTATCGATATAGTTAAGATTTTCGTAAACAATCATGATAATTTTGACAGCTTAATATGTTGTTAATTATAATAATAAAATAATCAAAGTTGTAGTAAACCGCAGCTTCTTATGTCATCTGCTCAACACTCGATAATTTAATTAATTAATCTCTGAAAGATATATTGAATGTCACGCGGAAGAAACCGCACATGTGCTCTCGACTCGACCACAAACTCGACTTACTCACAGAGTATCAGGGCGACCATCAGGTCTGACCTATCTAAATTCGTAAAATTATATTTTGAGCCAAAATTAAAACTATATTGATGCCTAAAGACGTTTACCCAGATTGATTGTATTACTCGTAGTAATAAAATAAATTATCCACAATTAGGTATAATTCGATACTATCACAGCATCAAAGATAGCGGTACAATGTTATTTTTTCATTCAACGCTACCTCGTGACCTTAATTATTTTTTTCAAAATAACGACCAATTCGAAAGGCGTGTTGATTAGTGAATGTACCATATCTGTCACGATGGCCGCAACATGGCGCGTAGAAAGTACCTACCTGCGAGTATCCGCGGGTTACTGAGCCGTCACGTGAGCGCGCGTCACTCTCTGACCCCACAAGGAGATCAGTAAGTCAATGTTCGGCTACTTTGTACACCTTCATGGAGCAAAACGTTGGTATGATCCCACACACAAGCTGTTACTCCAACTCTAACCTCATTGAAACAGCGTGTGACGTAATTAAATGTATTCATTACTTACTCGTAGGTGTTCCGTAGTACTTATTGTTTTTAAATAAAGCTAATGAGCTTTTTATTGAGCTTTCTTTGAACGTTTCTCCAAGCTTTACTATATTAGTTAAGTATTGAAAATCCACGGTATTCATTTATTAAAATTCTAGCAACGAATTGCAAATATATGACTTTTCAAAAATTTGACAACCAACTTACTCGTATTAAAATCAAATAAACGTATTGTAGACAAAATATCGTAATATTTGAATTTGATAAGCAACAACTTGTGCACAAACAAACAACATAATATTGTGAGTCATTCATTCTTCAATTCTTTATTGCTATTCCACACGTTTAAGGATGTTCTAAGATAATACATTATAGTTACAGTTTGGACCCTGTCGGGCACAGCAAACATTAGAGGAGTATTTCATCGTATCAAGTGATTAAAAATTCAGTCAAATCCTTTGGCAAAAGTTATTGTCTTATTGCAAGTTAGGTATTTATCTCCAGGTGGAAGCTTGCCAGATGTCAGTTAGTTTTTCAGCCGGCTCGCATCTCTGCGTGACATCAGCGCGCGCTGACCCACATCTGAGAGAGTATTGACTCCTGAGGTGGAATATGGCATGTTGCTATGGACATGGTTCAGGAACATGTGATTCTAAAACAAAAGAACTGGTGCATGTGTACCTGATTTTTTCATTTTATAGTTTTCTTCATGATCGTCAAATATTGTTTTATCAGTTAATTACTCATTAAAAATCAATGTTGATAAACATTTTTGTAAAAATAATGTAACAAAGTTTTCAATCACATTATCGCAACGATCTAAAAATACACTTCGCAATGTTGCAGGTTGCACTTTTTGCCGACAATATGCTATTGTGTACATTAAAGGCATGCTTTAAGTTTACGCACAAAAAGGTGGATCAAGTAAATGCGCAGCTCACACTTCTTGGCAAGGACACCGTTATTGCTTTTTTGTGAAGAGTTTTTATTTCAATGGCATTTTCCAGAACAACACATTCTCCAACCCTGAGCTAGCGTTCAGTTCTGGTGTGTTTTTGCAAGCGATCAGCCGGCGGTGGCGTGCGAGGGTGTTAGCACACCAACCTACATTTTGAAAAGAAAAGCAATAGCTAGTGTTATTATTAGACAAGGTATTTTGGTCCATTCGTGGTGCTCCGAAATTAGACGGTAGGTCATGAGAGTTCAATACTGCCAGGAGACAATCAGCTGCGCGCAACATCTGTGCTCTCTGCATTGCACTAGTAATTTTCAATTAAAAAATTTAAATCGACTGTAGTTATCTGTACAAAGAAATTTACAAACTGTTCAAAATGAAGAACAACATCTTTAACCTTTCACTAAGAACCCTAAACGATTGTAATTTTCCTGATGACCTCGTATATTTACCTAAATTGAACTTAAAAATGTTCGCCTGAGTCATTCATCTGCACGAAATTAACGAACCGTAAACAAGAATCGTTTGAGATGATTAATCGAAAGGATTTTTCAGATGCCATGTACCAGAATGCGAGAACAGTTCGATGGCGTCGCGGGTGGCGACTCCGGAGCAGTGGCAGCCGGCGTGGGCGGGCTGGGCCCTGCCCGAAGACGCGTGCACTCGCTTCAAGCCCACAGACTCGCTCTGCCATGACGCGGCCTTCGACAACCAAACTACAGTCGTCTGCGAGGAGTTTGTCTACCAGACCGGCAGCAGTATAGTTGCTGAGGTGCGTTTCATTAATTTATCTCGTAGTATTTGTCTGCTTTAAGCCAATATAAAATTACATAACATTTTAGAATCTGCACTCGTACGAATCTCACATTGCATTTTGTTTCAGTTCGACTTGGCATGTCAAGAATGGAAGCGCTCCCTGGTGGGCACCATTCACAACATTGGCATGTTAATATCCATGCCTATAATGGGTTTCGTCTCAGATAGGTCAGTGTATTTGATATCCTGAAATTAGGGAGTAAAAGTATAATATTTTCATTCAAATATTTTAAGCCTGCTTCCATAAAGGAATTTATGTAATGCAAAACCCAAAAAATGGTAAATTACCTCTGTCTATCTCTGATAGAGTGAGTATTTTACCAATATTATGTTTAGTTGCTCGTTTTCTTTGAAGTCATTTACTTAAAGCTTTTTTGTAGTTATTCTTCTAGGATATTTTTATGTATTTGGAGGGTATGTTTAGATGGGGACGCCGCGCAGCGTTGATCGTCAGCGGCTGCGGCGCGGGAGTGCTGGGCCTGTGCAAGTCCTTCGTGACCTCGTACCCCGCGTATCTCCTCTCGGAGCTACTAGAGACAGTTTTTGGAGCCAGCGTGTATCCTGCTGCTTTTGTGCTAAGTAAGTAATCGGTGCTATTAAACGATTCCAGGTTTTAGCCTCGCTTGCATGACTATTCCACTGTGTCTATAAATATTTAAAAGCTGAACAGAGTTACAGAGTGCTTGTAACTCTGCTGTTTCCAAACAGGAAATGTTTGAATTAAAATGAATTATTCACTACATTTTCAGCAACACCTCTAAACAAACTCTTTTGTAACAAAGTATTGTACTATACATCATTTTACCAATTTTCGTGATTTTTAAAGCATTTCATCACAAAATTGTTTTTCGAGTTAGGGACATACCGAGGACTTATAGACATTCTACTGTATTTGCAGTGATCGAGTGGCTAGGCGTTGAGCAAAGGATTCTGGCAAGCTTAGTGCTGGGCATACCCTTGGCCATGGGGGCCGCGACGCTGTCTCTCCTGGACTACCTGACCGGCTACTGGAGGACGTGGGCTCGGTTCGCTTATCCCCCTTCATTCCTGCTGCTGCTGTACCCGTGGTTGTTGCCCGAGAGCGTCCGATGGCTGACCATCCAGGGCCGACTCACCGAAGCCGTCCAAGTCATCAAGAAGGCAGCAACTTGGAACAAGGTCATCATCCCCCAAGAAGGCATCGAGAAGATGCTGCTGAATGAAGCGGAGCAGCTGAACAACAAGGCTGAGGTGGACATTGAAGACGACAGCTTGTTCAGAGCGTTAATAAAGTAAGCTCAAAAGATTCTAATCTTAATTCTCTCAGTAGGTAGAGCCTTTATTATTTGTGCATATTTGAATAACTTTTTAACGATTCCACGTCGTTATCTCCTATCGTCTGCTGGACATGCATTTTTTAGATGGCATGTCCATTATATTATTTTCCATATAAGTTGAATCAAGCACGCGCTAATAGCTTGATCGACGCAGGTACCAGGCGCTGCGGCAGCGGCTGTGCGTGTGCTTCGTGTGGTGGGCGTCGGCGGTGTTCGTGTTTTACGGGCTGGCGGTGCACGCGCACGCGCTGTGGGGCTCGCCGCACGCCAACTACGCGCTGGTGGCGGCGGCCGAGCTGCCGGCGCTGCTGGCCAACACGCTGCTGCTGGACCGCGTGGGCCGCCGGCCGCTGCTCACCGGCGCCTTCTTCGTCACCGCCGCCGCGCTCATCGCCATCCCCTGCCTGCCTGACTGTGAGTGCACTGCGCTCCTTAGTACTGTTACACCCGGTGGTGGCTTCAAACCTGATTTGAAAGAATGATGGACACGAACAACCGGCTCTTTTTGTTGCAAATCTGTCCATGACCAACAAGTATTCTACAGATTGTGTGCTGTAATAACCTGAACCCTAATTTGTTCTCCGAACTTATGAAATTCACGCAAAATTATTTCCACAATACTGTAAAGTAACGATTTGTTTAACGACACCTTCGTAGCAACGAGCCCGTTCAAACTTTAAAAAACAATAATGAACTTTGCCTTAAAAAATCATTCCTCTAACGAATCTTATTGCTACCCACAATCAAAACATTATAGGCCTTTGACTCCGCCAAGGCCAACCACTCTGTCAGTTCACGTGTTCACACGTGGCTTTTTAGGTAGATGTTTTTTTTAATTTATATCTGCCCATTTATAAATATGAAATGCTGTTTAAAATAAATTAGACACACTGTAGACGAGCCAAGTTTGGAAAAATACAGCGTCACTGTTAGCGTCTTGCGTCTTCAAGATATTTTGTACCTAGTAGGTAGGTAAAGAATTTTTAGATGAAAAATTAACTTTGCTCACAAAGCTTATTATTAAGCTTCCTCGAGCTTTAATTTGAGCTTTCTAAAACAACATATAATATTCGCATTATGATGATGAAAAAGATTTTGCTTTTTGTTTATTAGGTATGCACTTTTAACAGAACATGGCATTTTTTAACATCTTAATTCTAGATGCTATTTGTTTTTATCAATAGGCCATTAACATAATATATGAGAAAGTGTCTATCGATACATAACCGTCGTTTGGAAATTGTTAGCGGCGCCGGCGACCGGTATGTTGCGACCGGCCCGCGAACTGGTCCTGGTGAGAACCACTTGATACGTCTTGTGACTCGGCGACGATGACTCACTGACGACAACGAACTATAAACAACCTACTGGTTTTCAGTTATCAGTTTCTTGCTCTATCTTAATGGCTTCAAAAGGAAATAAGGATAAAAAGTATAAAGAAATTTTTTGGTTTCCAGCGAGCAGCGTGTGGGGCACGGCGCTGTACCTGGTGGGCAAGGTGGGCGCCACCATGTCGCTGAACGCGCTGTACGTGTACACGGCCGAGCTGTTTCCCACGCGCGCGCGCCACCGCCTGCTGGCCGCCTGCTCCACCATGGGCCGCGTCGGGGCCATCCTGGCGCCGCTCACGCCGCTGCTGGTACGTTCTCTTGTTCATCATCATCATTTCAGCCATAGGACGTCCACTGCTGAACATAGGCTTCCCCCAATGCTTTCCATGTTGATCGATTGGTAGCGGACCGCGTCACACGCTTCCCTGCTACCTTGTTCCTTTGTTCGCTTCAACGAAATCCCGTCCACTGCTGGACTCTGAAGTCTTTCCAAGGATTTCCACAACGACCGGTGCTGTGTTGCCCGCATACAGATGCTTCCCGTGACCTTTGCAAGATCATCTGTTCATCGAATGGGAGGCTTCATACTACTGTGACATGGTACGGCTGGTATATTACACGCATACTATAGATACAAGACCAACTACTCTCTACAAATGGTCGCATGCCATTGTCCAGCATGAAGGTCTTTGGATATTATACTGTCAAATCACCATACACTCTCAAGGCTTAATTTATGGTCAAAGTTGGGTGGTGCAACCCAGCCTAAGAGTTGACGTGACCAGCTAATATCAATCTCCGTAGTGTTGGCGTGATACCAGAAAACTATTCCTACTTACAAATTGTACTTATACAATTCCCTAGAAAGAAACTTATTGCTCACTTGTCTGATAGTGTAGTAATTCGTAAGAAGGACGGATATTTCAGTTTTCATCATCATTTCGATATAAATCTATTTAACTTTACCTGTTTTCTATTTCTAGCGTTAGTATTTTTTCAATATTTAGTAAACTAAGTAAACTTTTAGAGTTCATCATTTTCAAACCTTAGCTCATTCATAGTTTATAATCGCACCTAAGGATTTTTTTAAAATTCAATTAGCAACTTTAAGAGTTAGATACATAGGATAAATATTTTGCAAATACACAATTATAGGCGCACTCTCTGTGATTTTTTTATGTATGTACCTACCGAAGCTTAGTGTCATGTGATCGCGCGGTGGGTGTGGCGGACCGCAAGCTGCCAGTTACGGCGCTGGTACTATTTGTGTCGCCGCATTGCTATGCTATACTTAGCTCAACACTTAGCGCCACAACTGTGTAAGCAGATTTTGAGACCGGTCGACCTCCCGTACACGTACTTGTGATACGCACAGTGCAAGCAAATATACACCAAGCAAGCTAATAAGGTTTTTACTTTACGACTTTGTTTGTATCTCTTAGGGAAAATGTCTAACGGCAAAGTTGTAGGGATGATAATTTGTAGTTAATAGGAATATAGAGTGTCTTTAAAAACTAGCGAAATCCTTGTGACTTCATTAAGACATTGTCGTCGATATGTAATTTAATGAATACCTACAGTGTCATTATTGTAACACGAATAAGTAAAGATATAGATTTTTTAAACCTAATATAGAAGGCTTAGGGAAGTGACAATTATAAGCAATATCTATCTAAAATAAATGATGATGCCTCGCCGTAAAGAGGTATCCACCAGTTTTCTGTAGTGCTGCCCATCAACGTTGGACCAGCACAAATAAAATGTTGTTCTGTCTTCTAGTTAGCAGCTCTACTCATAGTTTTTTTAAAAGATATGGATTAACCTCATTCAAAGCTTCATCGCATCAATCAATGGAAGTCAGCAAGGATCACCGAAGAGCATAATGTTTCCTATTTTTTGATGGGTAATATGGGTATCTTCTTAAAGTCCATCGAGTAAGAGCAGCATCTCACGCAGATAAATCATAATTAATGTGTTTAATCTAATAAATATGTTTTCTTGTACTACATAGAGCACAAGAAAGAAATTGAAGCATGCGAGATAGCTGTAATGTTGTAGATATTAATGAGAGTACCCGTCATTGTCCAGGCGGTGTACCGGTGGTGGCTGCCGACGGCGCTGTTCGGCTCGCTGCCGCTGCTGAGCGCGGCGCTGACGCGGCTGGTGCCCGACACGCTGCACCGCCGCCTGCCCGACTCCTTCGCCGACCTGGAGCCCGCCTCCTCCTCCTCCCCGCCCGCCACCCCCTCGCTCGTCGACACGCCGTGATCTCTCTTCACCGCGGGAAAATCTAACAGATTTAGAAATAAGTGTTTAACGTATTCAAACCGAGAGGACCATAGTGTAATTGTAATTTTAATGTGAAGCTCTGAGTGCCTGGAAATATATTCTAAGCAAAATCGGTGCGGTGAGTCTTGTTGCAAACAGTAGTGTTTGCTAATATTAGAGTAGGCGTCTAACGTGCCTTTAGATTAAGTTTTTAACACAAAGTACAAGAAAAAAGTACTAAGATTATGAATAAATTATTATAATGTAAAAGGAGGTTAAACCTGCTTTTGATTTAAGACTTTAACTTGTAATATAATATCAATGTAACAGGGTAAAACGATCCGGTTAATTCGGATGTATGTACTCTTGCCATGGGCAAATAATAACTATGTATTTAGCGTTTTATTTGTAAGTACAAGTTATTAAAGTTGATGAGATTTGATTAAGTATCAAAACATCTAGTGAAATTTTCNAAGTTTTTTATAAGTGGGCTACATGATGTTCATAATTATAATTCCACGATTTTTATAACCAGTTCTAATGGTATGGACTTTTAATTTCTGTTGTAGTTTAGTTGTAATATTTGCCGTATTTGTTATTTGATTACATGTAAATATGCGAGTGCCAGAATTCTCTGTAAGAGCGGTTCGGCTTACATAGTTAAAGTCACCTTAAATTGTAGTTTAAGCTAAAAGTACAGAATAAATGTAAAGGTCTATTGAGATCTAATGTTTAGTGTAGGATTGCTGCAACTTACTTTTACTTTTTTAAAGTGCTCAAATATTTCTAATTTATAATGCACCCTGAGTAATAAAATTCTCTGTTTATTTTGTAGTAAAAATATAATAATTATTTTTGCTCAACGGTTTTTGTTTTATTTAGAGAACTTTTTGTATTTTCACAATTTTATGCGTATAATAGAACAATTTACTCCGCCGCGCCGGAAGAAGGGTTATGTTTTTGAAGTGTATGTAAGTAAAGTTTAATATCTCTTTGGCACGCTCTACATACAAGTTGATGCTTGCAAAAAATATATAGGTAAGGTATATTACGAGTATGTTTCTTACTTGATAATATGAAAAAATAAATTAAAAAATAAACTTGTACTAGAGGATCACTCTAGTTTCTATTGGTATCATAGTGGAATTGTATGACACAGTTTGGCTATTGCAATGTGTTAATTTACACTACATTCGTGAAGTAGGTATCAAAAAATCATGAGCAGTCACAGGTAAGTAATTTACACAACACTGTAAGGTTCACCGTGGGTAACAAAGGGCCAAGGTGTTATAACATCCGTGTGAGAGCTGAAACGTATTTACTTGTGCGCTTTCAGCAGCCATTATACACTAATAGGCAAGTGTGGGAGCTCTCGCATAGTTCAGTTAGACACTGTGCACAGATCATTGAACACGCCTATATCAGAATATCACTAAAGTGCAGGCCATTTAAGATAGGTATTTTCTAAAAAGTGACATCGGTATGAGTTAAACGAACGAAGAGTTAGGTGCGATCCTAATTTTCTCATCTAAAATGTCAATTAGACGAATAATTCCGCGCTAAAAGGAAAATTAAACTAGTCACATTAGCTTCAAATGGATATACATCCGAAGCGTGCCTACGGAGTGGAAAACCCGAAGCTACACTCGTGTACCTAGGTAATGTAGAGATTTTATGAAATGAAACATACATCGAAATACGCGTATATTAGAACGGCGATCTCCATAAAACGAGTTGTTTCGCATTTGACGGTGCAGTTAAACGGCTGATGAGAGCTTTATCAATTTAATGTGTTTAGGTACTTGTTTGTATCGTTTTATAATCTTTACAAATTTTTAATTTTGTATCGATATACAAATACGTGTGACACAGTGCCATCACAGCCACAGACCGCTATAAAAATTAATTGGGTAACTATGAATAACGTATATTTAACAAACAAAATATACATGTAGGAATTGAAACCCAGGTTGTATTTCTTCAGCTTTATTTATATTTACTCCAGGATAAACCACAAAAAATAGGAACGTCTTAGAACCGTCTTAATACTAATCGTCTTCTGTTTAAATCCCGTCGTTCTTCCTTCCTCACTCATTCATTCCGTCTCACTCACTCCCTTGCGTTCCGTTTCACACTCCCACACTCGGCCATCCTGCGTAGAGTCCNTAAGATAGATGTTTTCCTCTGATACTAGGTATTTTCTAAAAAATGACATCGGTATGAGTTAAACGAACGAAGAGTTGGGTGCGATCCTAATTTTCTCATCTAAAATGTCAATTAAACGAATAATTCCGCGCTAAAGGGAAACATAAACTAGTCACACTGCTTCAAATGGATATACATCCGAAGCGTGCCTACGGAATGGAAAACCCGAAGCTATACTCGTGTACCTAGGTAATGTAGAGATTTTATGAAATGAAACATACATCGAAATACGCGTATATTAGAACGGCGAACTGCATAAAACGAGTTGTTTCGCATTTGACGGTGCAGTTAAACGGCTGATGAGAGCTTTATCAATTTAATGTGTTTACTTGTTTGTATCGTTTTGTAATCTTTGTCAAATTTTTAATTTTGTATCCATATACAAGTACGTGAGACACTGTGCCATTACAGCCACAGAGCGCTATAAAAATTAATTAGGTAACTACGAATAATGTATATTTAACTATATTAGTCGACAAGCCTAATTACAAAATTTACACATCTACCGACAAATATGTAATGTGATGTGCAACGGAAATCGTTGATGAGTTATTTTCTTTGCAAACATGTCTTTAATTCAACAATACATAGTCACCAAAGTGTTGATTGCACAATTTCGTAGTGAACGAGATGAATTCATTTGCAGCGCGAGTGCAGCCTATGTGACGGTACAATAGACCGAGGGCGGCCATGACCGAGTGGCTTTCTACGGCATTGTCAGCGCCCTCAGGGCACGCCGTCCGCTGAGCGGCGCTCCAGCAGCAGCAGTCAGCACACCGTGCGCGGCCGACGCTGGCGCCTGACGGACGCGACGATGACGGCGACTGCGAGCCCGGGAGCGCGCGCCAGCTACGGCGTGGACGCGGACGCCGTGCTGCGGCAGCTGGGGCAGGCGGGCCGCTTCCACCTGCGGGTGTACGCGCTGGTGGCGCTGGCGGCCGTGCAGGTGGGGCTGCTGCACACCACCTACATCTTCTTGGCCGCGGACGTGCCTTACAGGTAACCGCTTCATTATTTACTAATATAGTAAGACACAGGTCTTAATGCGACGTTTATTATTGAGTTGCATTATGTAGCTTGACGTTTCGGCTGCTATGCTGCAGCCGTGGTCACAAGCAGACTGTAACTCATTAATAGACGTAGCGTGAAGACCTGTGTCTGGTTGAAATGGAACGCGAAAGTTGAAAATCTTATATTTACTACCATCTTCGGAATACTAACGTGTTAACTTACTTTTGGTAATAGACAAGACTATGTATCAGTCTTCACAGACTACAGACTTAATCAGTATGAACGAGTATGAAAGTACACACATTATACCGATTTGATTCGGTCGTGTCCCCATATTTAGAAGACGATCAAATCATCGGCCGATGTAGGTATGCGGGAATTCAAAGCGTATTAAACGCGCTATGAAGACTTCTTGTGACAGACCGATCCTAAATGACCAAGGACACGGACAAATTACTAAAAAATTATAATAAAAATAAACTTTTTTAAAAACAAGCTTTATCGTGAAATGCAGTTGTACTAAAACGAAAAAAATAATTGTATGTAAGGTTCAAATAATTTCGAAAGCCTGTATCGCGCATGGAAATTATTCCTCTTTTTTACAAGCTTTTTTTCTGTTTGCGCTTAAGTATACCAAACAGGTCAATCATTTGAGGAGAACTGGTCTTAAATTCAGTTGCAAGATTTGTCCCACACATACTAACAAGTGAAGTCAATATAAAGCTTGTAAAAAATATTGCGTCTACCAACAACCCTTACTAGAACTGGACAAATCATTCGATTTGTATCACTGTCGTGTGCCCTGACAAAGGTGAAGAGGCAGCGAGGGAAGAGAACGCATCGCGGAAAATTGATTAAAAGATAGGGATATAGTCAGATGCACCATCTTGAGGTAAATCGAGTTTAAAGGAAAATCTTTGTAGTCTCATAAAAATAACATGTGAACGTGTTTAAAATACATAATTTTATCTCCGTTGGTTATTGTGTGCCATATTATTAATCACATTGATCTTTTAATAAAATTATATGAAATTAGACACACATAATTAATTTAAACCAAAACCTCCTTCATTTATTATGCGTGATTGTTTTGTGTTTTGTTGTTGGTATACATTTCTCAATAAATTAATTTTATATTATACATTAATTTTGGGTTTAGATTAATTTAAATATAGTTGTAAATGATTAAAACGATATTAAAAAATGTGTCAAATAATACATATAACGGAGAAACCGATAACCGAATCATTTTTTTTCCTGAAAAAAATAAAATAAAATGAGTCAAACTTTTATAAAGCTGTATGAAAAGATTAAGGCGTTTAGTTTGTCTCTGCTTTTCTAACTTTATCTATGGTTATTTGATAGATATTTGGTCCAACCACCAACAAACATAATTGCCAGTGCAGTGATATAATTATCCTTAAAATACTGTTATGAGTAGTATGAGATACTGTTATAAGTAGATGGTAGAGCTAGCTGGCCTATGAACGCCTGATTACTTAAAACAGCAATATGTATATCTGAAACTCGGAATGTACGAGTAATGAGCAGTTAAATAGACGCAGCTTCAATTCAAAACGATGATTGATTATTTATAAGCAATAAAATATACTTAGGTATTGTTAGTTCGGCCGTGGAAACGTCGCGAGTTCCGACACACATTGTCAAGATAAATCAAACATAACTATCCCACGAGGCGTCGATGACAAACAGTACAAGCCAATATCGCATTCAATTCAATATTTGTATTACATTTCGACACTGAGAATCTATTTGCCGACATAATAGACCCTGGAAAACGGAAAATAAACACATGTTATTAATAACACCAACATCCCTAATCAATTGACTTTCTGCTAATAATAAATTGTTTTTAGCAAAACATCTTATTTGAGATCTACCTACATGCTATACATAAAAACGAAATAGTATGATGTAAGTGAAATGACTGTGAAATTGTCTTTTAAGTTGAAAATTAATAAGTAGCATAATTATTTTTTAGGTCATTAATTTAAAATTATATGTATAGGAGTACCTAAATTACAATTACAAACTTATTTCGCCATCGGCAATTGCTGGTGATAGACTATTGAAAACCTGTCCAAATCGATCTATTGTATGTTTGCATATACCTATTCACTGAGAGCTATTCAATGGTGGCCTTTCTATGTTTCGCAAGTTGTCTGTCAATGTGTGGTCATTAATAGCCACTTGTGATAAGGACGAAATGTCTCAACGATGTAGTTCAGTAGTTAGCTGGGGGCCTTGGCTGAATATAAAATGAGCAATCAGTAATGACAGGGTAAGCTCAACAGTGCTTAATAAACCTTACAGTTGTTTTGTTTGATACATTCTATAAATACGCAAGTTTTCATAATATACTATAGGCAGGGAAATTAATATCTGTGTCATCATTGGGTTTCGATTTAGCAAGAAAGCTTAAACACTTCAGTAGTGGTCAGGGGCAGCATTCAGTCTCCAGAACCTTTAATTATTTAAACAATTTAATTTAGTCTTGTACATTACTGTTTTTAATTCGGACGTTACATTGGTGGTAGGTTGTTGATTTTCCGGAGACTACGTTTACCGTTTAGATATAGGTACGTACTTTTGAAATTATTATTTTTGGATGTAAAATTAACTGTAGTTGTCATTATACGAAAGGTTACATGAAGGGTTCTAATAGAGGTATATTATACGTTAGAGGTACGTGTGTATGAAATATTTTCAGAACTGAAATCGGTTTATCAATACGAGTCTAAACATAATAAGTCGTTTACACAATATGTGTTTAGCACACAATGATGTCCACTTCCGGAAGGTAAATCATAATGATGCCTCGTACGGTGTCGCGTGCAATAAAAATCTACTTATCTACATGTTTAATGTTAAATAAAAATGTTTATTGTCCACTCGAACACGCATTACGTGATCTGAATGTGATACTGTTTTAAATAAGTGTTCATAGAACGCTGAGGGCAAATACCCAATAGCGTGTGCTGAACGCTCTTTCTACCCATGGTTAATAAAAGAGGGCCGTACTCTGTGGTCCTACGCTGCGCTTTCTGGTACGTGGCCTCCACTCCAGAACCTTGCTGCTGCATCGGCCATCAGTTCTGCACCCTCAAGGTGGACCGACGACCTTATAAACGTAGCAGGAAGGAGCTGGATGCAGGCCGCTACCAACCGATCATTATGGAAATCATTGGGAGAGGCCTGTGTTCAGTGGTGGACGTCCTATGGCTGTTATGATGATGCGAATTTGACATGCTAATAATATTCTGTTTTATTTATACTCCAAAAGTTTAATCATTCATCGGCAAGCGGCAATGGGCAGCATAAGCACTATAAGCAGGGCAAGCCAAAGGTAGTGCCATAATGTTGTTTTTTGTAAATAGACATTTCTACCTGGAATTGGTAATTGAAGGCAATTGCTTGGGTATAAAGGCTTTATCCAGCTGAGGAACGAATGAAACTGAACAAAGGAAGATATTCATTTTATAATGGTAATAATTTTAATTCCAAACATAATATTGATTTAAATACTTGTATGATTAAATACTGTATGATAATAAAACCTCTTTTAATAAAGACAAAAGAAACTGCGATAAAACTTTTTCACAATAACATAAATGATAAAATAATATTAAATTAAATAAGTTCTTCAACCTAATGTTTTGTTTGCCGTTTAGAAAGGATGTTTTGTGAGGGAACTTAATATGCATAAATTGCATGTTCATTATTTTAAATTACTGTTAGTACCTTTAGTTATAAATATGTTTTTATGCTTTAGTTGACTGGAAGAGAATGCTTTATAAAATGGCATTTAGTGCGTCTCTTGTACCGTAATTAAAACATTGCTGAAACTTCTCTACATTTTTTTATATTTACCGAGAATCATGGCACAATCTTACGTATTTACGAACGTACTGAAAAAGCATTTGATCTTGAAATTGGAATTGGTGGCGTCTAGTTTGATTAATTTTTCCATACTTTTTTACTTGTTGGGTTTTTATCATGTGCTTCATTGTATTTTAGTTTTCGATATTTTCCGATACAATTAACAATAAGCGTGAAAACAAAAACCCAAGTTTGTTTCCTCTGTAATTTGTATTCTTAAGACCTACTCATGTAGAAAGATGTTGATAGCAACGATTCCGTAACCCTCGGCGCGGGCGCATCACTCGCGCGCCCTCCCGCGCACAGATCGCGCGCGCACGCGGTTCGCAACACGCGCGGTTTATCCGGCATTCGCTATCAATATTGTTTTAACTGCATATGATTTTACGTGGACAATTTTAAATGTACTTGAGCAACATACTTTGTTATACAACAAATGATTTTTTGAATACTAAGACTGATCCAAATATTAGGTACCTACCTTTTTTCGTTAAATTTAAACTTGTGAATTTTGACTTTTACTTTTATTTTTTTTTAAGAACATATATCACATACAAGAATATAAATCAGTGAATTAAGATCACATATCGTTGAAAATTTGAGTGCGGTGTGTAAATTTTGCGTAATCTAAAACTCTCCGTTAACTTCTGAAATTATATTGAATTGAATCGCTAAGTTAACACAATCTCCTCGAATCAAGGTTTAATTTATTAGTAAAAATGTCTAAGAAAGACGAAGTGGACTTGTCTGGAAGTGGCGGCGTGGACACGGACCGGCTCATGCAAGAGCTGGGCCAGTTCAAGCGGTTCCATCTCACTAACTATGTTCTCCTGGCGCTGCCTGTGTTTGTGGCCGCGCTGTACGCTATCAACTACGTATTCTTGGCTGCAGATGTACCTTATAGGTAAGTGAATCACTGCTCCACCTGTCAACTAAAGAACACCAACCATGAAGCTGGTGCACTACTACTGCATCCTGGACCGAATGATAAGCCTGATTCTTCTTCTTTTCGTGTCGACATCAAACCTACACAGGTGTCAGCCCAAAAATCCGCCACAAGAGTGGCGTTGTCAGTTGCACTCATCAAA